AACATTTTATCAGTCATAAATTTTGCAAATATATTCTCCAAGTTTATGGCTTTTCCTTTCTTTATTTTTTTATTAATTTCTTTCTTTATTTTTCTTCATTTTTTCTACATTTTTCTTTAGAAAATCTTTATTATTTTCTTTAAGCTGTCTTTTGAAAAACCGATCCTAGTTTTAGTGTAGTCAACTTTGTCAGTGCTGTCTTTTACAGTTAGGGCTTTTGGGGTTTTATTTAAGAAATACTTTCTATTTGAATGTCAGAGAGATAGACATCTACCTCTGTATATTTTAATGTGTTTAAGGTATTGTTCTAACCCCTTAGTCTAGCAGGAATTTTTTAATTCTATTTTTTGAATTGTCCTTCCTTTCCCCATTAATCTGCCATGATACTTTTTTATATATCAAAGTGTCATAAATGCCTAGTACAGTTTCTGGCTCTTTTTTGTTGTTGTTCCATTTCACCTATTCTGCACCAATACAATGATTTACTAATTACTATATCTCCAGTTTTAAAAGGTCTTGAAATCTGGTAGAGCAGGTCCAATATTATGTTTTAATTACTACAGTTTTAGGATATGTCTCAATGTTTGATAGCACAGGATCTCCCTCCCATTCTGCCATCTTTTTCATGAAAACCGTGTTGGCTATTCTCGGCCCTTTGCTTTTTCCTATACGTTTTAGAACACGTTTGTAAAATTTGACGGATTTAGATTGCATTGACTCTAAAGGTTTATTAGAGGTGAATTGACGTCTTGGTGATATTAAGTTTTCCTATTTGTGATCATGGATTATAATTTATTTAGGTATTATTTAATGCATTTCTGTAAAGTTTTATAATTTTCTATGTATGGGTCTTGCACATATTTTGTTGTTTATATTTTTGTTGCTTTTGTAAATGGTGTACTTATAATGACATTTTCTAATTTTTTATTGTTGATGCATAGAAGAGCAATAGCTTGTTCATCTGTCAGATCTATCCACCTATTGTTTTAATAATTTATCTATGAATTCTTTTGGGTTTTCTATGCAGGTAACCATTATTTGCAGAAAATGGCTTTTACTTTCTCATTCCTAATCCTTATGCCTTTGATTGTTTTCCTTTTTCGGATTGTGCTGGCTGGGACTCTGGTTAAACGTTGAATTAAAGTGGTGATAGCAGCCATGCTTTTCTTGTTCCTGATTTTAAAGGGAATATCTCTTCTAATGTTCTTAGGTGCTGGCGACGAGCAGAGACAAACTGTGGGAGGCAGCCCACCAGCCTGCCTGTGCCAGGCCCGGTCTGCAGAAGGACAGGGCCATGGTTCCTGCACAGCTCTGCCCCACCAGGGAAGGCTGAGTTAAGTGTCAAGTTCCAGTTGCTACAGAGTCAAGAGAGCCTGGGGCTCCCCCTTGTGGTCCTCCCATAGTTGCAGCTGTAGCTGGGGCTCCCTTCACTCCAACCATCATTGAGGAGGTGGGATGGGTTTATCAAGCTACAGGCCCCATCTTTAACATGAGCCTACAGTTATGACCCTGGTCTTTTCAGGCAGGACTATCAAGCTTGTTCCCCAGGACAGTCAGAAACCCAGATGTGACAGTGAATTTTATGTGTCAACTTGACAGGGGTGCAGGGTCCCCAGATATTTGGTCAAACAGTATTCTGAGTGTGTCTATGAGGGTGCTTTTGGATGAGTTTAACATTTAAATTGATATACTGAGTAAAGCAGATTGCTCTCCCTAATACGGGTGGGCCTCATCCAATCAATTGAAGGCCTGAAGAGAACAAAAGGGCTGACCCTCCCTTGAATAAGAGGGAACTCCTCCTGCCTGATTGCTTGAACAGGACACCGGTCTTTTCTAGCCTTCAGACTCAAACTGAAACATCAGCTCTCCCTGGGTCTTGAGCCTGCCTCTAGTCTGTCAGACTAGAACTATATATTGGCTCTCCTGGGTCTCCAGCTTGCTGACTAAAGATCTTGGGACTTCTCAGCCTCCATAATCATGTGAGACAATTCCTTATTTATTTATATATATATATATATATATTTATCCTGTCAGTTCCTCTGCAGAACTCTGACCAATATACCATGTACACAACACATTTTCCAAATACAAGGGGACAGCCCATTTTCTCTCTCCCCATGCCTTCTGCCCTTTCCTGATGAATCTGGGCCCCAGAGTTTCATTTATAGGGTTCAGCCTGCCTGGATCCCTCAGTCAGCCATTGAAAAGCAAACATCCTGGATGTATGCACTCCCTTGTCCTGGCCAGTCAGCATGCCTAGGAAGACCATGCCAAAGATCTCTCTCTTCCTGCCCCTGAGCAATGTGGCTGGAGAAACATACAAGAGCTGACCAGATCCTTGAGGTCTCCAGGCTCAGCTGGGCCCTCTCATAATTGATCAATGCCTTGATGGCTCACTCTTGGCCCCTCTTCCAAATACTGTCCGTTGTCCCAAAGCTGAACCCCACCCTTGCATTGCCATTCTCAGCAGATCACTCTGCCTCCACCTCCCTGAGAAAAATATCAATTGACAAGAGCTCCTGCAACTTCCCTTCTCTCCCCAATTCAAAGTGTCTCCGATTCTTCATCCATCCCTTTCTCCTTTCCTCCCAGAGAGAAAGGTCTTTAGGCCATCTATATAAAGGCAAAGTTCTTGGTGGTGAAGTGTCCACATCCAACTCAAATCAACACATGGATAGGCATTCCAAGGGTGTGTATGGTCAGTTTGGGATGGCAACACCTATTCCTAAGGGGTGATTCTCTCCTCTGGCCTTCTTTCCATAGGATGATCTCACGGGACCAGCCCTGGCTAAAGCAGACCCCCACTAGGAACCCACAAGGGAGGCCACAGCCCAGGGCAGCCTCTGCAGCATATCCTCCATCCTGTGCAAGACCATCCCTCTCATCTAGGCTTCTCCATTCAGGTCCTCCTTCCTGCCTTGTTTCATTAGACAGTTTCCCTAGCTCACACTTGTATATTCAATCTTTCTCTCTCCTCTAGATCCTTACCCTTAGTTTAAAATATACTAAAAACTCTCCCAGCCACAACTGTCCCCCTCTCAATCTTGCCGTTCCCCCAGCTACTGCCTTAAATGTCTCCTTTCCTTCCCAGGCAACTTCCTTGAGAGAGTAGCCAGCACTCACTGCCATCAGTTCAAGCTGGCCATTCTCTCACACCTGAATTCTGGTTTCCGTGTCCACTCCACCCTCAATTCCACTGACACTGCTCTACTAGGGCTGGTAAAAATCCAGGTCATCAAATCCAAGAGTCATTATTCAATCCTCCTCTGATAGGCGGTTCACTTGTGTTTGGGGGAATTAAAAGAGAGAATGTCTACCCAGTGCACTAACAGGGGAGCAGCATCATGTGAATTCTGATTATGGAAGGGAGCTCCAAGGAGAAAGCAGTTCTTGGACATGAGAGTCAAGGCTAAGAAGTCCAACCTCACCACCGACCTGGCCAGCTGGATGCTGGGATTTGACCTAAGTAAGGGAGTTGACAGGTTTCCTGACAGGCAAATGTTAACATCCCCATTATACCAAGAAGGAAGCTGAGGCTCAGAAAAAAATTATCAATTGCCCAAAATTACACAAGGAGTGAGGCTCAGAGCTCCTTCTATCACATCGTACTAATAATAGCTACCACTTAACAATAACAAATGCTGTATATCAGGCATATGCTAAGAGCTTTACAGAGCATTACTCAGTTAATCCTCTCCCAAAGTACAGACTAGAATCTCCACCTGACCACTCTACAGTTCTGTTTGGATGTCTAATGAGATGCCCGATCTCAAGGGTGACACATCCAAAAATGAACTTGGAATCTTTTCCCAAAAACCCGCTCCACTTGTAGCTTTCACTATCTCAACTGATGGCAACTTCTTGATACTAGTTGCTCAGCACAAAACACTGGAGTCATTCTTGACTCCTCTTTTTCACACCTCGCATACAACTTCTCAGAAAATCCTGTTGTCTCTACCCTCAAAGTATGGCCGTAATCTGCCCACTTCTCACCACTTCCACTGCCGCTGGCCTGGTCCCAACCACCATCACCTCTCACTTAGGCTTCCTGGGAATCTCCATGCATGTCTCCCTGCTCTTTCTCTCTCACCTCCCTCTCTCCAGTAACTGCCCCTCCATTCTATTCTTCTCTAAGCAGTCAGAGTGATCCTTTTAAAACTAAGATCAGGATGCTCCCCTGCTCACAACCCTGCAGTGGCTCCCCATCTCACTCAGACTAAAAGCCAAAGTCCTTACTGTGGCCTAGGAGGTCTTTAATGATCTGCTCCCTGACTCCTATGTAGAGGTCCATCTCTTGCTGCTCCGGGCCTTGCACCTAACACTCCAGCCACCCCATAGCCTCCTCAAGCACACCAGGCCTGCTCCTTAGCTGTGCCCTCTACCTGGAGGCTCTCCCCGTCCCCCAACAATGGCCGCCTCCTTCGCCTCCTTCAAGTCCACTCATATTCTCTGCTACTTTTTCCTTTTTCATAGCACTTATCACCTTCTAACATATTATATAATGTACTCATTTGTCTCTCCCCGTTAGAATGTAAACTCTTCTGGGGCAACGATATTTGTTTTATTAGCAGATATATCCCGAACGCCTAAAAGAGCGTCTGGCACAGATTCAAATTGCTGACACCTTATGACGCTGTCAAGATCAAAGTCCTTTAAAAGGCATTTTGACATCCACTATTATCCCACTGAAATCTGAGAACAGGAATTGCGACCCTTGCGCTGCTCTCCGGCTCCGTGACGCGGCAGCAGCACAGACAGAATTGTTCCTCTTCTCCAAGCGCGAGCCCAAGTTTACTCGGAACTATTTAGCTTGTTTCTCACTGAGTGCGTATCGGACCAAAGTCAAAGAGCACAAACTAAGAGCAGGAAATTGTAGTGCCGTGAGAAGCATCATCAGTAACCAATAGGCACAAAGATCTAGTTCACGTGGTGCGTTTTCAGCCTATCGTGTGCCTAATATTCCCTAACTCGCTCCCTTCCGCTCCCGGCTCTTTCTCTCTCGACAAGATGGCCACACCGACAGTACCGGCGAGTGCTTCTCCCGCCACTCAAGCCCCTTCCCCGGCTGCGGCCCCAGCCCCGGCGTCAGCCCCAGCCCCAGCCTCCCCCTCAGCTCCGGCTGCGCCGCCGGCTCCAGCTCCATCGCCGGCTCCAGCCTCATCCTCAGACCCGGCGGCGGCGGCTGGGACCGCGGCCCCGGGACAGACCCCGGCCTCAGCGCCAGCCCCCGCGCAGACGCCGGCGCAGTCGCTGCCCGGGCCTGCGCTCCCAGGCCCCTTCCCCGGCGGCCGCGTAGTCCGGCTGCACCCCGTCATTTTGGCCTCCATCGTGGACAGCTACGAGCGACGCAACGAGGGCGCTGCCCGAGTCATCGGGACCCTGCTGGGTGAGTGGTCAGGGTAATCGACGTTCTCTTCTATCTCCCACGGCCTTTTGTCTTGCTCACCTCTCTTCCCATTCCCACTGACCTCTTACTGTTTCTCTGTCTCACCTTCCTGCGACTTAACTCCCCAAGGAACTTGAATTTTCCTGCCCGATTGCTGTCACTTTGGGCGACATAGAATACGTAAAGAGTAGTTGGTTATTGAATAAATATCTATAAGTGTGCCGAGTGACGTAGGTTTTATTTTTGATCTTCCCGACAGCATTTCACGTCAGTTGTAATTAGTGCCAGTTCACCGCGAATGAGTTCAGGCGCAGACTAGGAAGTCAAAACCCCTGGCTCCCTAAGCCCAGAGACCACGTTTTCCCCCCTTATCTAGTGACTAAATGTCTTTATTTTCCAGTTGTTTACAAAGAAGTTTCTAACCGGTTGGCAAAGGAGTGGGGCATCTGTAAAAAGATAACCTTCTCAACAAGTAAATTTGTTTGGCAGGATCCCATTTAGGATTTCAGTAGTATTCTGCTTTCCTAAACATCTTAGCCTGATCCTCTGTTCCTTACTAGTTCCTAATGCCGGAGACCCTGTTTCCCCAGTCCGTCTCTAATTCTCTGTTTGGACACAAACGATTGTATTATCTGTTTATGATATTGCTTAACCTTCAGATTGAAGAATAACTTTTTCTCTGTCGAAGTTCCAAATTTGGAGTATACATATCTTAAAGTAATTTGTAAAACTGAGAAGCGCTGAAACGGAATTACTGATATATCTCTTTCTTTGGGGACTGCTGATCTCATCAAATTCATTTTCACTCCATCTTAGTTACAGATTTTAAACACCTTTGTGAATCCACTCCACTCCCATGCATTATTTCTCTTTCTAACTCTTGAACATGTAATAGTCCTTCCAGCTTAGAAGAAAATTGATGTTTTGCAAAAAGGACCAAATTGGTAGGCAGCCTCCACCACATATTAGCCACGTGCCTTGGGACAGATTACCTAAAGTCTAGTTCCTTCAGGGGCTACTTTAGACTTAGTTCTCACAAAGACTAAGTTATTACAGAAAGCATCTAACTGTGCTGGCACACATTAAGTGTAAAACCGCCGTTGGTTGCCATCCTCCACATCAGGCCTATACCAGCCCTAACACATGCGCACATTCTTCCTCTCTTTATCTTTGAGGGTGTAGCATTTTCCAGAAACTTCAAATGATCCATTGTCTTCCAAACATTGCCACGGTTTCTCTCACACCAAGCCTCTGTATTCTGTTTGCCACAAGTGCCTTGCCTGCTCACCCTCATTTAAGTTCCACTCATCTTCCAGGTTCCCCGGATGAGTGTTCAGTATCAGTCCTCCATCCCAGACCCCTGCCCCAACCCTCATTCTTGGTTATTTTTGGTTTTCTTTTTTGTAAGGTAGATCAGCCCTGAGCTAACATCCGATGCCCATCCTCCTCTTTTTGCTGAGGAAGACTGGCCCTGGGCTAACATCCGTGCCCATCTTCCTCTACTTTATATGGGACGCCACCACAGCATGGCTTGACAAGCGGTGCGTCAGTCCACACCCAGGATCCAAACCTGCGAACCCTGGGCCGCTGAAGCGGAGCACGCACGCTTAACCGCTACACCACTGGGCTGACCCCCACCTCACCCCCATTCTTAACCTCTGTGACTGCCCTGCTTTGAGCTTCTGTAACAGATGATTTTTGCATCACTGGCTTGGCACTAGACAAATAATAATTTAGTCTTTCAGCTGTACCCTCAAAGTTTCCAGACTCACTGGAGCTGATTAAAGAAACAGTTCTCCAACCGAGGTTTGTGCTGTGTGCCCCAAATATGCCAGTGACCCTAGTTAGACCAACTGTGATCTAGATGTTTAGATCCTCTTCCAGATTGGGATCACGGTACAGTGCTTGGTGTTATTGAGGCAGTACTTACTGAAGAATGAAGCATAGAGTCTGCTTACCAGGAACTTAACGAAAGCAAAGGAACGCTTACAAAGCATTCCTAGATTTGCTTGCTAAGAACTTAAATTTTCTCAGTTAGACATTAATTCATAAAACATATTTCATTTGGTTAATTGAAGTCACTGATACCTTTTATGTACCATAAAACTGTTAGGTACTTAGAATTCAAAGTTTGATAAAACAAACTCTAACCTTAAACTCAAGATGAAGATATACTCATATGCAGCTAATTAGAACATAATATGATAAATGCTGTAACAGAGGAGTGTCATAGTGGCATGGAAACTCAGAAGACTTAACTTTTTCAGGAGCTTGAAGTGCTCAAGTCTGTTGAATGCTGGTGAGATGTCAAAGAATGTGAATCCATTGGGTTTGGGGACATAGTTTCAGCTAAGCGGGCAAAAACCATAGTGAAGTGGAATTAAGCAGACACTGACAGTTATAGGCAACACTGTGGTCTGTGGTGGAGAGGGAAGCACTTGAAGCCTGGAGTGGGAGGTGCCAGTAGATTAGGAAAAAATGGAGAGGTCGAGGGACTAGTGGTCTTAGTGAGGTCAAGAAACAGATGTAGTGGGAGTAAAGGTATCAGAGCTGGAAGAACAGAAGGTTGTGGTAAGAGACTGACATTGATGTTTAAGGTTCACAGGTAGGTGTTTGGATGATGATAGGGTGAAGGTTTGGACCATGGGACCAGGTGGCTGAAGGGAGATCCAGGTGAAGCTCCCTAAACTGTGCTCTGAGACGAGGCTACAATGGTCTGTATAGACATTATTAGAATCTTTCCTCTAGCTCTGCAGATTAAATTATAGGGAGAAAGTCTAGAGACTGAAAAATGGAGGTCACAGAGTGAAGATCTGGAGTAGTACTGTTAGTGGGCCAGATAGGCCAGAGGAGACCTTGTGAAGGAAGAGTAGACCCTGTTTGTTGACGGTTAAAGGAAGGAGCTGGAGATCACTCCAGAGTTTCAGTTCCCTGGAGAACCCTGCTTCCTTTGATGCACATGGCTGAAGTGGGAGCTCATGAGTTCAGGTTTTTGTTCATTGACTTTGAGGAGACACTGAAAGCATTTGGAAGGTGGTCGGAGGCTGTTGGGAGCCCGAGGGCTTTATAACACATGGATGATTCTCTCTCACAGGAACCGTTGACAAGCACTCAGTGGAAGTCACCAATTGCTTTTCAGTGCCTCACAACGAGTCGGAAGATGAGGTGAGTGGGAATTTGAGCCGACCCTGTGCAGTCTGTAGCTGTTCATTTGCTAGGCTCTCCTTAAGGCCCCTCCAGCACAATGTATTGTACTTATAACCAGAGCTCCCACAGTTCACAGAGCTTCATTCGTGTGGACATACTTCCCAGGCCTTTTCTGACTGTTGGGGTAGCCTCTTTTCCTTTTTTTCCATTTTTTCTGTGGACTTCTGGCTTCTTAGCTTCCTGTCCTACCTTCCTTCATAGGTGGCTGTTGACATGGAATTTGCTAAGAACATGTATGAATTGCACAAGAAAGTCTCTCCAAATGAGCTCATCCTGGGCTGGTAAGTTGGAGGTGGAGGAAATGGAAGATCTCATTGATGACCAAGGTCTTTTGCCACCAGACTAGATACTGTACTCCCTCTTGGAGACAGATTATTGAAAGTGTATTATCTCAAGGAGCTATGAATTCAGTGTGTTAAGTTCTTGGCGATTCTGATCCTATGAGGCCAAGAATATTTATTTTGAATTGTAGCTTTTACTGAGCAAGTCTTTTTTTGCCTTGCTGGTGACTTGGAATTTTTCAATAACTCTAAGTCAGCCTGTGATTTGATTTGGTATAGTTTTCAGCGTGTTTATTATTTTGGCATTTGAGGTGTCACTGGAGGTATTACTACCATAGGGGTGTCAGGTACCTAGAGGCACCCATGCCACCATCGTGTTTGGTATTGATGTCACAGGTAGACCTGAGTCCACAACTGTGTTCCATTTTCCAGGTACGCAACAGGCCATGACATCACGGAGCACTCTGTGCTGATCCATGAGTACTACAGCCGGGAAGCCCCCAACCCCATTCACCTCACTGTGGACACGAGCCTCCAGAACGGCCGCATGAGCATCAAGGCCTATGTCAGGTGACCAGAGTCATGGGCCACAAGGGCATAAAAGTCTGTCTGGTTCATACCATGCCTGGATGACAGCCCACCTCCACCCCAAGCAGGTTTAATCCTTCACTGTATAGCTCACTGCCTCCTAAGGTAGCCCATTCCTCGCTCTTAGTAGTTAAAGTCATTAGAAAGGTTTTACTCTGAAACAAAATCTGTCCCTGAAATTTCCACTTGCTGATGCTGGTTGTACCCCAGGTTTGTGCCTGTTGCTCTTAAGCAATTTCAAATGGCAGCCCTTTAGGTATTAGAGCAAGCTGTTGTTTTTCATGTCATCTTTTCTAGAGGCTAACTCTTCACAGTTTTTACAGCCAATCCTCACGGTATTCTGGTCATGACCCTTCACCATGTTCACTGCTTTTCAGAGTTACCCTTTAAGTTTGTTGTTATCCTTAGAACTGAGCACAGGAGCCCGGGTAGTACAGATTGAAGGATGACTGTCCTTATTTTAAACACATCTGTTAACCCAGGATTGAGTACAGTTTTGATGACATTAACATTATGGTGTTGACATCTTGAGCTTGCAGGCTGTTAAAATGCCGGTTATTGGGGATGTTGGGAAAGTTTCTAGTGACATGCTGAAGAAAGGGCTGCTAGAGGATTAGAAGGGTTATAGTTTCTGGTTAGGATGAGGGCATTTGTTAGTGTATCTCATACACTGTTTAGCTTTGTGCTGTTTCTGGTTCTGACACTGATGTAACCAGTTAACTATTATGCAGTAAAGTAAAGATGGTGGATGCCAAGTCCTTGTGGGCCAGTTGGTGTACTGCTAAGCTCTAGCCATTGCCTAATTTCTTAGCCTTTCCTGTTATTTCAGACTCCTCAAGATCCAGTTCAAAGTGTATAGTTGACATAGTAAAGGCAGTCACCTTTAGTGAGATTACTTATAGCACCCAATCTAATCTTGGTGGGCGGGAGTCAATTTATTTTTTGAGTGCTGACGAAGGGCTCAGTCTCAGAAAAGACCTATCTGTCTCTTCTTTCTGTGGGGGTGAATATCTAGGCAGCCAGCTCCACAGGGAAATCCAGTGTCCTGTCCTCTCATCACTGAGATCACACAGTGTGTGAAGTAATCCTCTAAAGGGACCAGGCCAAGTCCGAAGCTGAGTGCCCTCTCGCAGGCCAAGGGTTTGGTATGTGGAATGAGCTAAGTGAAGGAAGTAAGTTGCTCCCATGAGACCTCTGGGGTTCAAGTGGTCCCAGTCTTCTCATCTCAGAACCTTGGAAGCCATACTTTTGGTATGACTGCTTTTCAAGCCTGGACTAGACATGGAAACCCTCTCCCAAAGCCATCTGTTTACCTGGACTTCTCTCTCCCCAGCACTTTAATGGGTGTCCCTGGGAGGACCATGGGGGTGATGTTCACACCTCTGACAGTGAAATATGCATATTATGACACAGAACGCATCGGAGGTGAGTAACCTTCCCATACCCTCTTTTGAGGTCTTTGGCATTTTTCAGGGGAAAGGATTGCTGCTGTCTAATAAGGATAGAGGGCCTTGGGTGGGTTAAAGAGGAACCATTGATCTAAGGTTTGTTATGAGTAGAAGTCACAGTCATTCTTCTATATAAATGGGATTCAAGGAATTATTTGTGAAATTGTTAGAGGTGGGAAATTGTCAGCACCAGAGGCTACATGGACATTCATATGAGACCAAAACCAGAGACTAGCATACTAGGTGCGAGAGTTGAGCTCTGTCAGAGGAAGAAAAGCTAATAAGGGCAGAGCAGGGAAGTTCGGGGAAGTTGACCAAGTCCAGAGGGAGGTGGGAGAATTAGCAGGATGGTTAGAGATCGTCTCTTTCCTGGTGGGATGACTGAATTATCTGTGTCTCTTATACTCCGCACCCCACTCCCACAGTTGACCTGATCATGAAGACCTGTTTTAGCCCCAACCGGGTGATCGGACTCTCCAGTGACTTGCAGCAAGTGGGAGGGGCATCAGCTCGCATCCAGGATGCCCTAAGCACGGTCTTGCAGTATGCGGAGGATGTACTGGTGAGGAGGGGGAAAGAAAGGAGGAGGGCTTAGGTCTCCGCCCTGAGATCACTGAGAGATAACGCTGGTGAAATGACAGTCGTTAGTGGTGAGAATTAACTGCCTCACTGAATCTTTGTTTGGTGCTCAGTCTGGAAAGGTGTCAGCCGACAATACTGTGGGCCGCTTCCTGATGAGTCTGGTTAACCAAGTACCCAAGATAGTTCCCGAGGACTTCGAGACCATGCTCAACAGCAACATCAATGTGAGTGCCATCCCCCACCTCAGCACATGCACACAATGTGAAGGGAGTTGGGGGAGGTGGTCTGGAGGGGGCCAGAGGAGACGGGGCTTCACCTTTGGCCCCCTTGCAGTCCAGGTTGGGGGCAAGGAAGAGATAGTACACATGCTCAGAGATTCCCTTCCTTCTCCTTCCCTGATTCCATTGGCGCAGGTACTGCTGATACTACTGTGACTTGTTATCTAGATTCATGGTTGAGAGAAATGCTAAAATTCAGAGGATAACGAAAATGCAACTTTGTATTTTCCCCATCTGAGTTCACAGACCCCTGTATTCTACTCATGGACCTCGTTTAAAGCGCTGTTAATCTATAGGACTTTCAGTAGAGATGAGAAAGTGTTCTCAAGCGTTTCCTTCCTCTCTTCCACCTTCGACTCTTCCTCAGCCTCTCCTAGCTGTCATTTATCCAGGACTGTCCTCACACCCAGTGTCCATCAGAGAGCTGGCCGACACCAGCCTTTCTGCTCCCTTTCCACCCTGCTCCTCACTCACTGTGGCTTCTTTCTCTTCCAGGACCTGCTGATGGTGACCTACCTGGCCAATCTCACACAGTCACAGATTGCCCTCAATGAGAAACTCGTAAACCTGTGAATGGGCCCCAGTCCTAGGACTCAGAATGGAGTGAAGTAGAAATGATTTCTTTGTGGTTGGAGTCACACTGAGTCACCAGCTTGTGACTCTAAATAAACATAGCCTACCTTTTGTAAATGAATTCCATAATATGTGAGTTTACTGCTGGGTAGAAGGGGAAAAACTGTCCTGGAGCTTACAGACAAACCAGGAAGTGAGTAGCTGGGTAGAAGCTGGTTGTGTGTTTGGCATGACTTGTCATCAGGACTTATACCCACAGCCCAAGCCACTTGAGCTTCACCTGAGCTCAGACCAGATAGCCTTCTTAGCACACTGGTTTACAGGGGTGCTTTCTCCCCACTCTTACTGTTTATGATCAGAGCAAACTGGACCTCCAAAACAATTGATTTTTATCCCTTCTCTTCCATAGCATCTTATATGGATGGCAGTGGAAAGAGTTGCCTTATGCACAGTTTGAAGTACCTAGAGAATGTGCTAGTGAGTGAGAGGAGAGGAAAGAAGGGGGTGGATACAGATCTCAGTCCTGGGACCCATAATTACAAGCTGGTGGAAAGACAGCCTTCTCCATGGTGAGGATTAACGGTGCTTTAGCAAATTTTTTGCTTTGGTTTACAGTCTGGAAAGGTGTCCCCTGACAATACCATGAACTGTTTTCTTGGTGGGTCATGTGGTTTTCACAGGAAGTGAAAATGAGAATCCATGGAGGGAAAATAATACTTAATCTGAACCGAAAGAGTAAACGGTGTAGTCAGTGTTTCAAAATACTTGAATAGGTGGATAGAACTGGTTTCCCACTGTGGTCCATCTGTGGCTTAAGTTTTTCCCCATTTTAGTGGGGAAAACAAAAAAGCAAATAATCAGTTGCAAAACAGTAGAAAATGAGTGCTGGGTCTAGCATCTATTGAGCACTTACTGTGTTGGGGGCAGTTCTCATTCTCGTCATGTTACAGAGGTAGCTGGGATTCAGAGAAGTTGAGTATGTTACTTGAGGTTACATAATTAGTAACCATAAGTGATGAAATGGGATTTGAATCCAGGTCTGGTTTTTATTCTCTGTGTAGCCCTCTGCTTCATAGTTTAGTGGCCCAGTGAAATAATTACTCTCATAGGGCAAAAATATGACATAACAGGAGCATATCATAAGGATTGACCAGCTCTGTCAGAGGGAGCCAGGGAAGATTCTACCCAGGACGTGATATCTAAGCTGGTGTTTCGTTTTGTTTTTTTTTTACTAGGAAATCAGGAAGGGGTGGTCAGGGCAGAGGAAACACATGTAAAAAAAAGCAGAGAAATGTAAAAAAGCTTCACCTGTTCAGAAGCTAAGGTGGCACATGTAGCCAGACCACCAGGGCACACAGTCTGTGGAGGTGGATTTTTATCCTGGAAGTTGTGGGAAGGCACTGGATAATTTTAAGCAGATTTAATCAGATTTGGATTTCAGGAAGATCACCTGGTAGTAGTGTAGAGGAAGGATGGAAAGGGAGAGAAATAGAAGGCAGGAAGACGAGTCAGAGGGCCACTGTGATTGTTCAGGGGAGACATGATGAGAGCCCACACCAAGGCAGTGGCAGTGGGGATAGTGATGAAGACTCAGATTCAAGAGGCTCTTAACAGTCACACATCACTAGGGGATTTTGTCATTGTGTGACATCATGGAGTGTACTTACACAAACCTGGACTGTATGGTTGCTATTATGGGACCACCATCATACATGCGCTCCGTCATTGACCGAACGTTGTTATGTGGTGCATGACCATATAAGGCAGATTCAGGAGACTTGAGACTGGTCGAAGCTTGGATGGTGAGAGATGGGAGGAATCTAAGATGTTGCCTGGTTTCTGATACAGGTGATTGGAGGCGTGGTGGTATGTGGAAACTGGCTGCTCTAGAATGGTGGAATCTTAGAGGATGCAGATGTGTCCAGAGTTACAGTTAGAGGGGTAGGTTGGGACCAAATGGTGAAGTCTTAAATGCAACTAAATAATTGTGACTTACTTGGTAAATGATGAGGCTGCACCAAATCTTTTGAGGAAAGGCTGAAGAGTTCAGGTTATCCATTTGATCATGTAATACAAATGCCAAGCAACATGCTAAGCAAGAAGTCATGGTGCCTGCTTAGAATCTACTGGAAGGAACAGATAAGAGCTCATTATATTGAGAATCACAAGGTGTTGGAGGTCCTGGAAGGGTTCCAGTTGGGAAAGGAAATCTAAGCTGGACTTCAAGAATGAGGAAGAGAAAGACTGAAAAAGAAAGAGGAAAATAGAGCATTTTAGGCACAGAAAATAGTGTGTGCCGAAGCCCAGAGAAAGACAGTGTCAATGCTGCAGCTCCATCCTTGCTGACTCCTGGCTAGGGAGGTGTTAGTAAGGAAAGGACGCTCCTCTCTGCCTAGGTTGACTCAAAAAGGATGACTGTATTTTTTTTTTTTTTTTTTTTTTGGCAGCCTTTGCTTATGTGCACAAGTTTGTTTTTACTGTGAATGTGTGTGTGTTCACGCATTCTCTTTGTATGTGATTGTGCATATGCTAAGAATATTTCAGAATGTGTCTGGGAGGTACATTCTATGTTGCTTGCATTCCATGACACCACGGTCCCCTGATTTTCTCTCAGCTCTTTTAACCGCTTCTTTTCTGTGCTTTTTCCTGGTCCTTCCTCCTCTGACCCTCCCTCAAGGTTTTATTACTCAGGGTTCTGTCCTGGGTACTCTGCCTGGAAGATTTCATGAAACCTGTGACTGGGATTACTGCCTTTGTGTTACAGATGCCCAATCTCTAGCTCTAGCTCTGGTCCATATTCGGAACTGGTTTCCTGACTCCACACTAGTTAAATGAACACCAGATATCTCACCTGGATGTCTCAAAAGCAGCTTAAATTCAGCGTGTTCCATATTGAACTGATGGTCTCTTCCTCCCCAACAAATAACCTCCTGAATTTCCTTCCTCGAGTGATGACCCAACCATGTCCCCAGTTGTCAAAGCCAGAAACCTTGGGTGAATCCTCGATTCTCCCCTCCGCCATTGTGTCTCAGCTAGTTTACTACAGCTCTGCCTTCAGTCTTGCCCTCTGTGATATTGTGATATAAGAAATAATATTTTCATCTTCATCCCTATTCCTGGCACACAGCTGTTAAAACCTTTGGAATTTCCTAAGTGATAAGAGTCATAAAGGTGTAAAAAGAGTCCTGTTATTCCTGACAAACCCCTTTCAACCCCAGCTGAGTTTATGGTAATGTGATTTTCAGAAAGTACCTAGATAACCAGACTTGTTGCCAGGGAAACCGACTGTGATTGGAGGTTGGAACTTTCAGCTCCTGGAGGGAAGAGGGGTTCTAGGTTGAATCAATCACCAATGGCCAATGATTTAATCAATCGTGCCTAATGAAGCCTCCATAAAAACCCAAAAGGACAAGGCTTGGAGAGCTGGGATGGTGAACAAGAATGCATCCGGGAAAAAGGAGCATGCGAGGAAGGTGGTGCATCCCAAACTCCACAGGGACAGAAGCTCCTGTGCTCTTCTGTGTTCTCTTCTGCCCTTCCAGAGCTCACCCTATGTATCTCGTCATCTGGCTGTTCGTTCGTATCCTTTAATATCCTTTGTAATAAATCAGTAATGGTAAGTAAACTTTTCCTGAGTTCTGTGAGGCACTCTAGCAAATTGATTAACTAAAGGAAGGGGTCATGGGAACCTCTGATTTATAGCTGGTCAGTCAGAAGCAGAGGTGACAACCTGGATTTGCAACTGGCATCCGAAGGGGGGAGATACGGGAGGAGGCAGTCTTGTGGTACTGAGTCCTTAACCTTGGGATCTGACGCTATCTCCAGGTAGGTAGTGTCAGAATGGAGTTAAATTATAGGACACTCAGCTGGTGTCTGAGAATTGCTTGGTGTGGGGACATCCCCTGCGCATCTGGTGCAGAAGTGTTTGATGTGAGTGGTAAGTGTAGAGAGAACAGTTTCCCTATTCACCCTGTTCAATCCATTCTCCTCACAGCAGCCATACTGCTTTTGTAAATCTGACCAGGACATACCTCAGATGAAGTCTCTGCAAGTGTCCCATTGCCCAGAAGAAAGTCCACACTTAGCACAACCTGTAAGGCTCATCATAACCTTGGCCTGACTCTCCAGCTCCATCCCTTACACTCCCAGCCTGGGCTCCCTTTGCACGTGCTCTGCCTAGAACATATGTCCCTTTATCTGGCTTCTCATCTTCAAGGTTTTAGTCTAGATGCTGCCTCCTCTTGGGAGGTGCCCCTATTCCATGATCCCATGACATTCTCCTACCTTAGCCTTTCTCTCACCATTTGGGACTTGTCTGTTTACAAGCTCTATGAGGGCAAAGACTGTCTATCCTGTTGACTGTTACATTCCTAGATCCGAGAGCCGACCCAGACACAGAATAGGCTCTCAATAAATGATACATGAATAAATGGATGGATGGCTTGCAGGACAATTACCATGAGGCACTCGGGATGTGGTAAGTTCATCAGGAGTCATCGGGATCCTTTGGAGAGGGCCTGGAGGGAGGGAGCAACCAGACATTAGGTTATTGGTTTTACTCGTTTATTCTGCAAATGTTTAGTGATGCTTAGTATGTGCCATACATGGTGTTGGGCACTAGGGATATAGAAGGGATGAACCGTGCTCCCTGCCCTCTGGGTTTCAGTCTTACGTGGGAAACAACTATAACAAAATGGAATAATTGCTCTAAAAGAGACAGGAACGAGTCTTGGGAAGACACAGTAGAGGACATGCTTAAATTTGCGTGAAGGTCAGAGGGAAATTCAATCTTGAAAGACATTGGGAATTGACTAGGCACAAAAGAGGAGAAAGAACTTAAAGGGTGAAGATCAAAATATTGCTCTTAATTTTACAATGGCACATATAGAGTGAGCTGTGTTTTCCAAGGGTATAACAGACTGGAGGTCAAAATAAGGTTGCAATAACAGCCACAACACAGTATTTCTGTTGCCCTGCTCCTACCTTTGTCGGGACACCTGCTTCCTCAGATCCTCCCAAAAGTCATCTGGGTGTCTCACAAGTTCTGTGAACCTGGAGTCAATTTTGTATTTTGAAATTTTAACTAAATTTTATAAAATAATTTGTTTAACTAAAGATTAT